GTGGGCCAGGCTAGAGTGCATGGCACAATCATGGCTCACTGCAGCCTCAACCACCCGGGCTCAGGTGATCCTCCCACCTCAGCCTTTCAGGTAGCTGGGACTGCATGTATGTGCTGGAATGTCCCGCATTCTGTTATAGATATGTCTGCCTGCTTCCTTGTGTTGTCATTAACATGTTTTTCTATACTCCATGTTTCCTTTAAGTGAAGTTAACTCTAGAGCAATGCTGCCCATTAGAACTTTCTGTGATGTTGGAAATATTCTGCCGGCATTATCTAATACCAGTAGCCACTGGCAACATGTGGCTATGTGTGCTTTAAGTGTGACTAATGCAAGTGAGGAACTGGATTTTAAATGTATTTAGTTGGACAGGTGCGGTGGTTCACACTTGTAATCCTAGCACTTTGGGAGGCTGAGGCGGGCAGATCACCTGAGGGCAGAAGTTCGAGACCAGCCTGGCCAACATGGCGAAACCCCATCTCTACTAAAAACATAAAAAATTAGCTGGGTGTGGCGGCGGGTGCCTGTAAACCCAGCTACTCAGGAGACTGAGGCAGGAGAATTGTTTGAACCCAGGAGGCAGAGGTTGCAGTGAGCCAAGATTGTGCCCCTGCACCCCAGCCTAGGTGACAAGAGCAAGACTCCATCTCCAAATAAATAAATAAATAAATAAATAAATGTATTTAGTTTTAGTTCAGTTAAATAACTATAAATGGCTACCGTATTTTTATTATCAGACAGTGCAACTCTCAGTGTAGTTGATTAGATTCAACTACAACTTTCTTGATAAATGTGCTTCACAGGTACTTCCTATGAATCACATAGGGAAGCATACCTATAATGATGTAGAGTGGGGCTGGAATTGATCAGTGAGTTCATATGGTGACAGCCAGATTCTGCTAATGTAAAGTTTGCCCAAAGGATATAATGTAAAGTCTGCCTAAAGGATATTAACATTAATATATATAAATTATATATGTGTATATATATGTATGTTTGTATATATGTATGTGTGTATGAACTATATACACACTTCATCTTTTTTATTTATTTACTTTTTTTTTGAGATAGAGTCTCACTCTGTTGCCTAGGGTGGAGTGCAGTGGCGTGATCTCGGCTCACTGCAACCTCTATCTCCTGGGTTCAAGAGATTCTCCTGCCTCAGCCTCCCAAGTAGGTGAAACAGGCCTGTGCCACCACACCTCGCTAATTTTTGCATTTTTAGTAGAGGAAGGGTTTCATGTGTTGTCCAGGTTGGTCTCGATCTCCTGAACTCGTGATCCACCCACCTCGGCCTCCCAAAGTGCTGGGATTACAGGCGTGAGCCTCTGCGCCCTGCTATACTTCATCCTTAGGCAATTTGTTAGAACCAAAGAACGAACTCAATGTAGTTCATTGAGCTTTCTTATACATACAAAAGTGAGAAAGGTAAAACTTTCTTCTCTGTATGTCAGAGTTTGAGAAAACTAAACTATTACAGAATATTTTAGAGAAAGACTTTAGAGAAGGCCAAATATAAGACAATTATTTCTTTGGTCTTGAGACTGGGCCCATGCTTTAAAAGAAATGAAAAATCAGTGACCTGGAAATGCACTACTACTGAAATAATCCAGATCATTTCATGTTCTTGGGTGTTTTTTCATTTTTGTGTTTCTTCCTTTTCAGGCATTTCTTACAAATGCAAATGACTAACTCACTTTGGAAACTCAGTCTGCTGGTGTTATTCATACTTGCTAATGAATAATTCACTGCTCAAAAGATTGTAGGGCCTGACAAATGAGTCTGTTGAGTCCAGACATAAACGAATGGCTTAGAATAGGACTTTGAGGGTCTTTTTGTTTTCTTAATCACTTATTATTAAATACAGCTGCCCTTTTGCTCTAATAAGGGAGTATGGATGTGATGGAGAGAACAGGCCCTCTTTTCTTACCTGTCGGCTTGTCTGATAACTCAGGTGGGGAACCAATGGCAGGAAGAGGACTCAGCATGCACTGAACAGTGTCATAAAACCTGACTTGACTAACCTTTCCTCTTTCAGATTATAAAAGCTAGACTCTTTTCCTGGATGCATATATGCACATGTAGGAAATGTTGCCTATCATTTCAGGAGGTTTAAGACCCCTGAGATAGCTAGGAATCACAGGATAAGAAGCCCTGCACTGGAAGCAGAAGTGGCAGACACACTTGCATGGATATTTTTATGGCATGCAGTATATAGGATATAGCTCCAAAAGCTGAAGAAGTCAGTTCCTGCTCCTTTCTATATTCCCAGACCAATCCTTTCTATTATTTTACATTTTCTACTTGTTTTAATGCGGTTTCCTTTTTGGACTAAATAAGCAAGTACTTGGCAAAAATATATTTTTTAAGTACCTAAAGATATTCAATGAAAAAATAACTTCCTCTCTGCCTCCCTATCCCAGGTCCCTCCCCAGAGGCACACATTATTAGCACCTTCTAGCATATCTTTTCAGGGATATTCTAAGCATATATGTAGATATAATATTCTCCTTCTCTCCCAAATGGCAGCACACTGTGTACATTTTTATGCCATTTTCTTGACTCTGTATTTTATAGACTATTTACTGTTAGAATGTATAGCTCTGTCTGCCTCATTCTTTTTCCATGCTGCATAATATTCCATCATATGGCTAAAACATAACTGATTTAATCTGATCCTACCTAATGAACACTTAGTTGGTTTCCAGTATTTTTTCAAATAGAAATAATTGTGCACCATATATTTTTGTGAAAGTATACCCATGGGATAAATTCCTAGCAGTGGAATTGCTGAGTCAAATTAAACAGTTTAATAGACATTATCAAATTGCTCTCCAGATAAGTTATATGTGGTAGGCAGAATAATGGCCCCCAAAGATATCCATGTCCTAATCCCTGGAACCTGTGCATATGTTATCTTACATGGTAATGGGGAAATTAAGGTTGTAGATGGAATTAAGGTTGCTAATCAGCTGACCTTAAATTAGGGAAATTATCCTGGATTATCTGAGTGTTTTCAGTGCAATCACAAGGGTCCTTACAAGTGAAAGGGAGGCCAGGCACGGTGGCTCACACCTGTAATCCCAGCGCTTTGGGAGGCCGAGGCAGGCGGATTACTTGAGATCAGGATTTCAATATCAGTCTGGCCAGTATGATGAAACCCTGTCTCTACTAAAACGACAAAAATTAGCTGGGCATGGTGGGACATGCCTGTACTCCCAGCTACTCAGGAGGTTGAGGCAGAAGAATTGCTTAAACCCGGGAGGCAGAGGTTGCAGTGATCTGAGATTGTGCCACTGCACTCCAGTCTGGGTGACAGAGCAAGACTCTCAAAAAAAAAAAACAAAAACAAAAACAAAAAAGAAAGAAAGGGAGAACCAGAGAGATGGCAGCATGAGAAGGACTTGGCTCTATGTAGCCAGTTTTGAACATGAAAGAAGAGAACATTAAGCCAAGGGAATATGAGCAACCTCTGGAAAAGCAAGGAAACAGAAAAGGCAAGGAATGTAGCCCTGCTGGCACCTTTATTTTAACCCAGTGAGATCTGTGTTGGACTTCTCACAAAATTAAATAATAAATTCGTATTGCTTTAAGCCCCTAAATTTGTTAAGTAGCCATAGAAAACGAATACATTGTATGTATTTACACTCCCATCAATGTGTTTTCCCATACCCTTCCCATTAGTGCTGTCTCTTTAATAGTTTTTGCCTTTCATATGAATATACTTATTATTTGAAATATTTATGATTTTTGTGTCTTATAATTAATTTTTTTAGTTAAAAAAATCTGAGCCATAATTATCTGCCATATTCTTGTTCTTTGTTAATTTACTCTTTGGAAAATCCCCATTTGGGGCATGTTTCATTTTCTTGTCTGGGGCCAGGATGTGAACAGGATGTGCTGCTGTATCACTTCTGCAATGCTGATGTCACCACTGGCCAAGCTGCACTGCAGACACTCTCTGGAAACAGAGGTTGTTCACTGAAATCTGTTTGCTGCCACCAAGAGGTACCTACCCAGTTAACAAAGCCTTTCTCTTGTAGTGGTGATAGTCCAATCCTTAAAAGGCTTTGTTGGCCCCCTGCAGAGGTGGACAGCCTCAATGATAAATTACTTTGCAAGGTGAGTGAGAGGCATTGGGTATCCACATCTCCACAGCAGCTGAGAGCCTCAGGTAACCATGGTGGGGACAATTAGGAGAGTGTGAAGTATCCCCATCAACTCATTTAATATCACCATAGAAGATTAGCAGAAGTAGCTGTGCCTGGTCCTTTCTAATTCTGCAGATTTCTTTTACCCCATGTGATGGGACCTCTCTTTACCCATGTACATTAACCCCCACAGATTGGCTTGACCATCTCTGCATTTAATATTCAAAAATATTTATTATCTTCTATCCTATTTAGGGTATAAACACTTAGCCATGCAGAATTTATAGATTATGGAGACAAATAGTAATCAACAGTCACAGGAACAAACGTAGAACTGCTATTATGGCAGTTGCTACAAAGAGGAGACACATATATGTATGATATAAGATATGATATTGAGATTCCACCTTGTCAGGGGCAGCAGAAGAGAGGTCCTGGTGGGGTATGTAAATCTGTGTACATGTGTTAATCAGTACCTGCAATGGATGACACTCTAAGTAAAGGGTACAGAGTGAGGAAAGGAAAGGACCTAGAAACATTGCTTAGCCAGACAGAGGAGGATAAACAGACAAATAAAGAATGGCCAGAAAGTTGGAGGGAAACCAGAAGAGAGCTGTGCCCTAGCAGCCAAGCAAGGAGAGACCAGTTAGATCAAGAGTTAAGACTAAGAAGAGCATATGATGGAACATTGTGTCTCTGGAGATCAACAGGATGTCTATGTTGCAGACTCAGTGATGTGGTAGGGCACACCTGGATTCAAATGTGGCTGCTCCCTTATTAGGTCTGTGGCTTTTAGTAAAAGGCTATCTAGCTTCAGATTCTGCATCGTAAAATAGGGATAATATCTCCCTGATAGAGTTATTATAGGGATGAGATGAATTAGCATATGCAATGTCCCTAGCACTTTGCAGATCCTTAATAAAGACTGATTCTTCTCTCCCAATACAACTCTGGCTATTTATTAATTTGTTCTGTTTGTCACTCTCCTTGATTTCTTAGCATTGGTGTTGGTGACCTACCTGTTAGGATCATCACAGGTCCCGTCCCACATCACTCGGGGTGTCAGCAAGTTGTGAGTGACAAATCAATGATCTGGACACTATAGGTAGCTAGATGCCCACCTGTATCTCTTGGTATGCAGAGAGACACAGCACTAGGAACTGGATAAGGACACAATATGCCCTTCTTTATCATACCAAGTTTTTCCCTTCCAGGGAAATAAACTTCAGTTACCAAAATTAATACCTAATCTTGTCTTGACCATCCTTCTGCACTATATCCAATTGTATAACTCTCTAATGCAAAATACTAGTAATAAATGACTGAACACAATTTAGGGTTTTTAATTTTTTTTCAGAGACAGCATTGGCCTTCCTAGATTTTTTGGATTGCTAGAAGGAGCCACTACCTGCTCCTTTCCTTCATTTTTGTCTATTATATATAGTGAATGTCCCCTACCCATTCAGAACTCTTGCTCTGCCCACCACCTCTGACGGTTTTTACAGTGTAACTGTGATTATGGCAAATACACTAACTACCAATTGGGCTACTCAACGCTTGCCTTAAACTAAACCCCAGAAAGGCTGGACACCGTTATGGAGAGACTGACATACTTCTATTGTTGCTAACAGGGGGTACCTAACTTTTAAATCTGTTTAAGAATTAACCTTGTGTTTCTAATTAGCACACGTTTGCTATTGACGGTGGCCATGTTTTCTGAAGCAAACATAACATCTAATAAGCAAAAGAGTATTTTTAGGAACAGGCAACTATATTAAATGAGAATTGCTACAGAAATTCCTAGGCTTGGCGGTTGTGCAGCTACTAAACATGTGTACTATTTAAATTATAACAGACCTATGATCTCATTCTACTTTCAGAATGGAAACGGTAAACATTTTAACATGGTAATTGGGGATAACAGGAGCTGATGGAAAGAAATCTGGGATTATCGGCGTTTCTCTATCCGCCTACCACGCCAGACAGGGCCAGTCTCTCCAGTTGGGGGCACTGCGTGGGGGACAGCGACCGCGCCTCCAAGCGGCGCACCGCGAGTACGCGCGTCTGCGCTGGGGCCTCGCGCGCGTTCCACGATGGAAGACTGCGCGTTTAAGTGTCCCTGGCAACGCCACGCTTCCGCCTTCTGGAAGCCTGCACTCCAGCTTCGAGTGTGAGAGACCCGTCCCGGTGGGAGGGACCTGGGCTGGGGGGGACGGTGGGGGAATAGGGGGATGGGGACTGGGGAAGCTTCTGGGAACATTTGCTCTAGGGATTGAGCTAAACTAAGAAAAATTGGTCCAAGGCTCGGCACAAAAGGATCTTTTCATTCCAGTCCTTTCGCCCACGCAGGGAACGATGCCTCTGGAGGTGGTGGTGGAGCTGCAGATCCGGGCGGTAAGAGATTGATGAACTCCCCCTCCTTAACCTCAAGTCGGACTCTTAGTCTCAGGTGGTTTTCAACAACCCTCCCCCACATCCCCCACTTACCACAAACACATCATTATCTTCTGGGGCAGATCGTACCTTTGTCCTTAAGATTCTCCATATTGGTTTTCCCTGACTTCTTAACATTTAATTCAGCTCCACCTGTTCCCACCTTTTTTTTTTTTCCCCTGTTCTAAAGTTAACATGTTTCTTTTCTTTATCATGAATTGTTTTTTATTTTCAAACAACCCTGCATTAAGTCCAGGTAGAATTTTATTTTCTTCTCCTGGATAAAAATTTGTGAACGGATTTTAAACTTCTTTAACCAGGGAATAATTTTAAAAAGCTCCATCACTTCCTGATTATTTGCCAACTCTATGAAGCAATCAGATATTTTCCTATGCTATTCTCCCCTTAGTGATGGCTCTGGCTTGCTAATTCCAAAAGGGAAATCAATCGATCAACAAATATTTTGTAATTACCAAATCTTTCCTAAGTGAGGTGCTGTTGCAGAGTGACTCCATGGTTTCTACTTGGGCGTCTACCATTCCCTCTTATTTCAGTTTCCATTTTCCAATCCTTCCATGTAGTTAGTAACAGAATGTCATGCCACCTTTCCTCTAGGGGCTTTTCTACTGGCTATGATTACAAGCATAATGCTAACAGGAAATTGTCATGGAATCTGGTTGGCCTCCATACAATTGGCAAATGCTGTGGTTTCATCATACATGTGGGTGTGAAAGGTGATCAAAATTTCCTGGTGATCAAAATTGTCCCACTTTGCTGACAGCAAATAGGGCTAGACCATATTAAGTCGTACTATACCAGTTTTAAGCTCTAAAAATTGTGCAGGAAGATGAAGGAACTCTTGAGAAGCTAAGTGATAAATCAGTCTCCCTCCTCATCAAGGCAAAAATTAAGCAAGTTTTCATCTCACTTCATTCACCATTATTGGTTAGTTTTATTTTGATTTTTAAAAGGCATTCCTCAGTGTACAATTAACAAAGAAATCAGTTTTCTACTCTACAGTACTTAGGATGCTTCAAAAACATCAGGTGAAATTGATCTATGCTTTAAAAGTCAGAAAACTCAGGCCCCAGCAACTAAAACAGGGAATTCCAAAATTGTAATTATGAACTAGATGGTAAGCCTAATTTCATGCCCCTCATATTCAGATTTGTGGACACCGCAAGAGGAAATATCATTTGCTTCCAAATATCTGGCCTGAATATTGCTGCAGTTAAAACAAAGGATCTCACTAAGGTTAAACAACAAACCCAACCCACTTAGAGCTTCACAGTTTAGCTGCTTTAGCAAGTGAAGAGGTAGTCGGTGTTCAGGATGTTGTGGGAATGCAAATGATTTGATTTTGAGGCATGGCTGTTTCTTTTTCAGTGTGCCCCTCACTCTGAACAAGCTCATGCTTTCACTCAATCAAAACCTACTTATCACAGCCATTCTCCAGGTTCCTATCCAAATCTCAGTATGGTAGATCAAAGTCCATAATAATTTCTATTTATAAATGCCAAAACAGTCATTAAGATTATCTGAGGCCATCACTTCCATAGGTAATTTAAAGGATTTCTTTTCAGGTAGAGCAGTATTTAAAGCATATGCCTTCTCCAGCCTTTCTGGGTCAAAGAATAATGAGCAGAGTCTACCCTGCGTTTGGTGGTCTTTGGTCTTATGATTTGGGGAGGCACCATGGATGAACAGCTTTAAATGTAAAGATCAATGTAAACAGAAATTTTGGAATTATACCTTGTGCCGGGTACAGCAGCAGATTCCCCTGATGAATTTCAAGTTAAATACCGTTATCTAAAATGTGCTGTACCTCAGAAAACGGAATTCCATGTGAAAAACTGTAGCATACAGGTATATACGAGAAAGCTTACGTTCTTGCATTGAGAAGACGTTCTTTCCCCATTTTATTACCCTGATAGAGGGGCATTATTCTTTATTCAGTGGAGATGACTGGCAGCAGGGCCCCTCCTGTTATAGTGGTCACTGGCATAATATATGGTCAGCCTATTCCCAAACTTTCAGTTCCTCTGACTCTCCCCAGCAACTTAGTTCCTCTGCCCTCTCTCATGCCATGTTAGGTTGTAAACAGAAATAAGCATGGGGCTATGTCCCATTCTTCCTTTTCTATGAGCATCTTCGATATGCCTACCTTTTAAGTGTTTCCTCTTTAAGCAAGTTCTTGGCTTTTTCTCTGAATGCTAAAAGACAGGGAGTAGTGGGAAACACATAAAGATCTTTTGAGGGGTGGAGGGAGAGGAGAGAAAGACAAGTATTATAATCTCTTTTCCCACTACCCGATCCACAAATATGGATAGAGATAATAAAGAGAAAATAAAGTAAAAAAGCTTACCAAGAAAATCAGGATTAAGAAGAAATCGTCCCAACTATGGCAACAGATCTTCAGGGAATAAACTAGAAAAACCTATGTCTTGAACTTTAAAAATACTGTTTAAAATCTACCTCAGGAAAAGGACTAGGATTAGTACATGGCCTGTCTGCATGTATATTTACAGAATGAACATCATGTTTCTTTCTCAAAGTTCAGTTTACAAGTGGTATGTTGATTTAGGGATTACCACAAAACACAAATCTTACTGATACCAACTTTTAACAGCAACAGTATAACCACCTAAGCTTGGTTTCTTTGCAGTTGTCCTGGAGACATAAACAATTGTTGAATAAATTAGCAATAGAGGGTTTTTTGCTTTCCCTAATATGGCTGTGTTCAGTAATGGCCAGCGTGTGCTCCAGCCTAGCAGCACATCAAGATGGTGGGACACCTGAAATCCCAAAGGAAGCCTGAAATGCCTAAGAGGGACAAGCGGGATGGCTGCTGGTTTAGGTTGGTATCATCGAATGTGGAAACCTTCAGACCTCCTGGTGCCATCATCAATGAGATGGTGTCATCGTTGACTCCACAGTAAAAAGAGGACCGGAGCATTATGGGGTGAGAGCCAGCAATAGTCCACGATGCTGTACTGCATGTAGCCCAGAAAAAAGCCAAAAACCACGTCGGTGACATTGTGCCGCCCCAGCATGACCCTGGAGAGGCCCAAGACGAAGGCCCACAGAACCACCAGCACCCTCAGTGGAATGGCCAGTACCAGGTGGTTCAGGATGAACCTCGACATCAGGGCGGCCCTTGTGGCATGGCCCGACGGGAAGGAGTACTTGTCCACCGAGAGAGTGACAAACATGTCCATCTGGTTGTGGGCCGGGCGGCGCCTGCGGACCAGCCCTTTGATCAAGGCCACCAGCAGCAGGTCCAACAGCAGGGCGAAGAGCAGGTTCATCAGCACCTCGCGCCCGGCCCAGCTGTCGCTCCTGCACAGGCAGTAGAGGGTGCCCAGCAGCCAGGGGATGCCATGTCCCGAGATCTCCAGCAGCTTCATAAGGGGTCGCACGCTGCCCCACGACGAGCTCTCTCCCGCGCACACCCCCAGCTTTTTGGACAGCCACAGGTCGATGGCCAGCAGGGAGCGCAGGGCTATGCCCAGGAAGGACGGGTTCAAGTCCATGCGGTCCTCCTCGGGCAGCGGAGGCGGGAGCGCCTGGGAGGGGCCCGCCGCGGCCAGGGGGAAGGAGCCGCGGCGGTGCACTGGGCTCTCCGACGCTCGGAGCCGGGCGCAGGTGGGGTCCACACCGGTAGCGCGGCTGCTGAGCAGGGACTGGAACTCAAACCTGCTGCCGCCGCCACCGCCGCCATGGGCTGGGCTGCCGGGGCTGCTGCTGCTGCTGCTCGAAGCGGAGACGCCCAGCGGCCGTCCCTCGACGCTCCTCCGGGGACTTGGCATCGCGGATGGCGGCCCGGACCCCGGTACCAGGCCGGACTAAACAGAGGCTTCCCGGCCCTGCAGCCTCTTCCGCTTCCGCACTACCATCCTGGAGGGGCGGGGAGAGGAGCCGGCGAGAGCGCGATTGTGACACCTGGTGGAGACGTGTGAGGGAATTGGAATTTCCAATGTGAGGAGAGCAGAGGGGAGGACGTTGGCGCTGGGAGGTACAGGTGAGGGAATGGGGTGATGGGGAAAATGTCAGTGTTTGTAGGAGCTTAAAAGAAATAGAGCCCCGTGTAACAAAACAAAGGAAAGCCTGTTTTCTCTCTCTTGTTTGTTATTTTCTTTCTTTTTAAGATTTCTTGCCCAGGGGTGTTCCTGCCTGGCAAGCAAGATGTGTACCTCGGGGTCTACCTCCTGAATCAGTACCTGGAGACAAACAGCTTTCCCTCTGCGTTCCCCATTATGATTCAGCAGAGCATGAGATTTGAAAAGGTGATCTTGACTTTCTCATTGACTTTTGTTGTCTGAAGGTAACCTAAGCGTTCTTATAAAGAACACAGTTCTTACAGCATTATTTTGTAAATTTCCTTCAAAAAAATTATCCAAAAGCATTTCAGCACAGTGCAAAACCACAGTCGGCCTTGAAGCAAAACCACAGTTGGAAGACTTGCTTTTGTAATGCAGGTCTGAGCCAAGTTCTGTCAATCTAGTGCTAAATACCCCGGTTGATGTTTCCTATTCTTGGAACTCCCCTGGCATTTTTTAACTAGAGCAAGGAGAGCATTTCTGAATGTTTTTGGAGGTGTTAGAGGTAGTTGCATTACATTTATGAAACGGATTATTAATAAACTGTGGACCTTAGAAAAAACTGTATTAGACCAAGAAAAATAATGAAAAAAAATGAAATTAGTTAAATCCTGTAATTAAAATCCTGTAACAAAATAAAAAGGCTGTTCAGATTTACTGTTTCCTCAGCTCACACCTGGTTTACTTAGCTACAGTGATAAAAGCTAGATTCCATTCTGGTGAATAACATGGTGATATAAATAATCACAACATTACCAGCCCTCTTCCCACTAAATTATTTCATAGAATATTGATGTTATTACTATGTCATCACTGACAATCTCTTAATATTTTTGTTTTGGAATTTAGAGATGGAATCAGTTTTAACCTTAATAAGTCTAATGATGTTGCCCCAAACAATGTCATTAAGGGAGATCTGGGGAGAAGGAAGGCTACAGAGTAGAGCATGTCATTTTTAAAGGTCTGGTGCCCAGAAAGTGACCTATCTGTTTCAACCTGAGGTTGAGAGAAGAGATGAAGATCAATTTTCTGAAGGGCTAAGATTGTATCTAATATTTTTATAAATCACAACCTATTAATTTAAATGAAGAATGTACCAAACTGGCTGGATAAAAGAGGAGAGAAATAAATGGCTATAACCTTGGTACATATAATCAGAATCTAAAGGAACTTAGTTCTCCCATTTAGATGTTGGAAGTGGTAAAAAAGAGCCTGGCACGGTGGCTCACGCCTGTAATCCCAGCACTTTGGGAGGCCGAGGCAGGCAGATCACGAGGTCAGGAGATGGAGACCATCCTGGCTAATACGGTGAAGCCCCGTCTCTACTAAAAATACAAAAAATTAGCCGAGCGTGGTGGTGGGCATCTGTAGTCCCAGCTACTTGGGAGGCTGAGGCAGGAGAATGGCATGAACCCGGGAGGCGGAGCTTGCAGTGAGCCGAGATCATGCCACTGCACTCCAGCCTGGGAGACAGAGTCTGTCTCTGTCTCCAAAAAAAAAAAAAAAAAAAAAAAAAAGTGGTAAAAAGTTGATGGTAAAGAGTTGGTGGTAAAAATGCAGTCTTCCCCTCCCCCCCAATAATTTTCTTATTAGTTATATCAATTTTGAATTTGCTCTGTAGAAGCCTCTTTTTTTTTTTTTTTTTTTTGGAGACAGAGTATTGTTCTGCCATCCAGGCTGGAGTGTAGTGGCAAGACCTTGGGGCACTGCACCCTCTGCCTCCCAGGTTCAGGCGTCTGCCACCACACCAGGCTAATTTTTGTGTTTTTAGTAGAGACAGGGTTTCACCATGTTGGTCAGGCTGGTCTCAAACTCCTGGCCTCAAGTGATCTGCCCACCTTAGCCTCCCAAAGTGCTGGGATTACCGCATGAGCCACTGCGTCTGGCCTGTAAAAGCCTTTAAAAATATTTTTATAAGAAGCCCAAAGATAGAAAATCACAGAAGCACACGACTAGATAACTCCAACCTCCTTGATTTGTCAAAGAGAAGAGTGAGCCTGAGTCACATTTCAGATGCCACTTCTGCTCTGTTGAAAAGCTGTACATTTGAGATTACTAGTCAAACAAATCATAGAACCATTTTTTCATTTTATAAAATTCACTCAATTAATTGTCCTCTTGCATGAGTTGTTTGGGTTCATATTCCTTTCTTCCTGTTGGTTTTAGCTTCCTTGTATCTGTTCCCTTCTCTAGCTGCAACTACTTTCAGCAGGCGGTGAAAATATTTTCTCTTCCTTGGATCTTCTGTTTAATTCAAAGTGGAATTTTCTGAGGCATTTGGGTAAACAAATTACTCATAAGAATATATGAGCCATTGTTCAAGCAGTTCATGTTGATCATTTACTCCCCAAGATCATACTTGAGAAAATCCTTAGATATGGATGTTAGTTTCTTAGAGCTGCTATACAGAAGTACCACAAATGGAGTGGCTTAAACAACAGAAACATGGTCTTGCTGTTCTGGAGGCTACAATTCTTGAAATCAGAGTGTCAGCAGGGACATATTCCTTTTAAAGGCACTAGGGAAAGACCTATTCCAGGCCTTTCTCCTAGTTTCTGGTATAGTTCCTTGGCTTGTGGCAGTGTAATTCCAATATTTACATGGCATTCACTCTGTGTGTGTACTGTTAAAAAAGACTGGGGTGGGGGAAGTCTTTAGGCTGGGGCGGCTCCAGTGCTTTAAATTCCTGCGTAAGCAAACTGAAGCCCAATGTAAACAGTAAAACTATAGACTTTTACCAAACGGATGCCACCAATGAACTTCTAACTGGAGATTTTACCGATAAGAAATTGCCAACTAACCTTTAACTAGAGACTTTACCTATCAGAAACTGCCAATGATCTCTAACTAGGGTCTTTCCACTCCAACCAATTAAATGTATTTTCTTTGTCTTATTTTCATGTCAGCCTGTAAAAGCTTGCTGTCCGTAATGCAGCAGTGGAGGTCTCTGAACCAAAGAGTTCTGAGTGCTGCCCAGTTTATGAATCGTTCCTTGCTCAAATAAATTTAATTTTGCCTAAAGTTTTTTTTCTTTTCTTTTCTTTTTTTTTAAAAACAGTTTCTGTGCTCAAATTTCCACCCCTCCTCAGGACACCAGTCTTATCAGAGGCCTACCCTATCCCAGTATGACCTTATTCTAACTTAAGTAATTTTATTTGCAGTGACCTTATGTGCAAACTAAGGTCATATTCTGAGATACTGGGTTTAAGACTTCATCCCATGAATTTTTGGGGGGACACAATTCAGCCCATAACAATGGGTAAAACGAAAGGATTATTAAAATAATTGAGGCAAAAAAACCCACTTACCCACATTTGCTTGATAAATCCAGTCAGTAGGACAAAAATTGATTATATGAGACACTTTCATTTTTGTTTAAGTTTAAATACCATTTAAATCAGAACTTTGAAGCCTGAAATCAAGCTCTGCTGAAAACGTTTTGTTTTTCTTAGGGCCTAGAGCTTAGGGGGAAAGGCATGGTGTACCTTTATTTCAATCCTGTCCCAGGCCCTTTCATTTCAAGAACAAAATATAAAGATTTGGCAATGGCTAGACAGATATGACAATGTTTTTCTTGTGCTTCAAGATACACTTAAAACTTTTGAGACTCTCCTCTCTTTCTTTTCTTATTCAATGTGAGTGTAGCTGCTAGTACTTAGCTTTTGTTTTGTGTTACGCATAGGTAAAATTTCTTTTTATGTTCCTTTTCAGCACAACCAATTGCTTGGGAAGAGAAACCATTCATTCAGTTAACATTTAATGAGTATCTGTTGTATACAGAATGTTTTTCTAGGTAGTCAAACGAGACTCTTTGAGGTTGATTCAAGATGGGCTTTCAGCAACAAACAGTAGAGTTAGGTCAAGTTGATGACATTTTTAGCATGTAGTAGATTAATTGAGATTTTTTTGCACTTCTTATTGTTGTGTTAACCTTCATTTATTCTATAATCACTTGTTGAACTTTTAATCAGACACTTATTAAAGGTACATCTGCTGAGTTCTAAAATGTTATGTGACTGGATTTCACATATGTTAATTACCTGGAAGAATTTAATTTACCCTTCCTCTCTCCTTCCTTCCTTCCTTCCTTCCTTCCTTCCTTCCTTCCTTCCTTCCTTCCTTCCTTCCATTCCTTCCTTCCCTTCCTCCCTCCCTCCCTCCCTCCCTCCCTCTCTCTCTCTCTCTCTCTTTCTTTCTTTCTTTCTTTCTTTCTTTCTTTCTTTCTTTCTTTCTTTCTCTTTCTCTCTTTCTCTCTTTCTCTCTTTGTTTTTCTTTCTCTCTCTCTTTCTTTCTTTTTCTTTTCTTCTCTTCTCTTCTCTTCTCTTTTCTTTTCTTTTTTTTTCTTTTCTTTCTCAGGGTCTCACTGTTTCTCCCATGCTGGAATGTGGTTATGCCATCTTGGCTCACTGCAAGCTCTATCTCCTGGGCTCAAATGATCCTCCAGCCTCAGCCCCGCAAGTAGCTGGGAATACAGGCAAAAGCCACCATGCCAAGCTATCTTTTGTATTTTTTGTAGAGAGAGGATTTCACCATGTTGCTGGTCTCAAACTCCTGAGCTTAAGCAATACACCCACCTTGGCCTCCCAAAGTGCTAGGATTACAGGTGTGAGCTACTGCACCTGGCATTTATAGTTTCTATATGCACTTATTAATACAACTTTGAAAATTTATTTTCTCCATTTTTCTCTGCAGGTATTTGAAAGTGCAGTAGATCCTGGAGCTGTAGTAGACCTTTTGGAAAGTAGGTACTCTGAAAAACAAAACAAAAAACCAAAAGACTATTGTGTGTAATTCACAGATGTAAAAGTCTGCTCTTTTCTAAACTGTGATATGTTCATGTTTGGTAAATATTTATTTCAAAACAGCCTATGTAAAATTTGAATCACATTTTTGATTCTGCTACATACCCTTTCTAAATATAAATGGGCTTGGCCGGGCACGGTGGTTCACGTCTGTAATCCCAGCACTTTGGGAGGCCGAGGTGGGTGGATCATTTGAGTTCAGGAGTTTGAGACCAGCCTGGCCGGCATGGTGAAACCCCATCTCTACCAAAAATACAACAAAATTAGCCTGATGTGGTGGCACATGCCTGTAGTCCCAGCTACCTGGGAGGCTGAGGTAGGAGAGTCACTTGAACCCAGGAGGTGGAGGTTGCTGTGAGCCGAGATCGTGCCATTGCACTTTAGCCTGGGTGGCAGAGCATGACTCCATCTAAAAAAAAAAAAAAACAACTAAATATAGATGGGCTTTGATGGGGATGGTATGATTCTGTTTGGTTGTTTATTTCTAAAAATTGTTTTTGTGTATTTCATTAAGTTAGAATATTTTTATCACTACAAAAAGCAGCCCTATGCCCATTAGCAATCACTCCCTATTCCCCAGCAGCCCTCCTAGCTGTCGGTAACCACTAATCTTTCCGTCTCTATAGATTTGCTTATTCTGGATATTTCATATGAATGAGGTTATGCAACATGTGCTTCTTTGTGATTGACTTCTTAGTGTAATGTTTTCAAGGTTCATCCATATTATAGCATGTGCCAGAACTTAAGTTTTTGTTTGGCCAAATAGTATTCTATTGGATGAATATATCACATTTTGTTTTTCTAGTCATCAATTGATGGACATTTGGGTTGTTTCCACTTTTAGGCTATGATGAATAATGATGCTGTGAATATTTGTGTATAAGTTTTTGTGTGAACATATGTTTTAATGCCTCTTGGGTATACCTAGGAGTGAAATTGCTGGGTCATATTGATACAGGAGTGCTGGGAAGAGAAGAGAGTGGTACCTTTAAATAATATGGAAGGAGGAAGGGAAGTGCTGGGTAGAGGAAGGGTGTGATCCCTGGCTAGGGCTCCATCCCCACGGACCTAGGTGAGGACAGGCACTCCTGCTTTCCAGCCGAAATATTGCATTTCCCAAGACCATCCTGGCCCACCATGCCCCCATCCTGTGCCTATAAAAACCCGAGACCCTAGCAAGGCAGAGACAGAAGCAGCTGGACATTGAGAGGAGCACATTGGCACTGGCAGAACGACATGGAGTTTGGCTGGGGCGGTTGGAGGAGAGCCAGGGCCGCCAAGCGGCCCAACTCCAGGGGAAAACCATCTCCCTTCTGGCTCCCCCACCTGCTGAAAGCTACTTCCACTCAGTAAAACCTCACACTCATTCTCCAAGCCCATGTGTGATCCAATTCTTCCAGTACACCAAGGCAAGAAACCCGGGAATACAGAAAGCCCCTATGTCCTTGCAACAGGGTAGAGGGTCTAACTGAGCTGACTAACACAAGCTGCCTATAGACGGTAAACTAAAAGAGCACCCTGTAACACACACCCACTGGGGCTTCAGGAGCTGTAAACATTCACCCCTAGATACTGCCATGGGGTCGGAACCCCACAGCCTGTCCCCATCTGTCTGCTCTAGAGGTTTGAGCAGCGGGAGCACCGAAGAAGCAAGCCACACCCGCATCGCACGTCCTGAGAGGGCGAAAAGGGAGCTTTTCCCGTTTCAATATGGTAACTGTATGTTTAACCTTTTAAGGAAGTTTCACATTATTTACCAAAGCAGCTGAATCATTTTACATCCCACCAGCAATGTATGAGGGTTCCATTTTCCCACATCCTCGCCAACACTTGTTATTATCTGTCATTTTGATTGGTAGTCATCTTTGTGAGTGTGAAGTGGTATCTCATCATTGTTTTGATTTGCATTTCCCTGATGGCTAATGATGTTGAACATTTTTTCGTGAGATAATTGGCCATTTGTGTATTTTCTTTGGGGGAAATGTCTATTCAGATCCTTTGCCTACTTTTTAATGGGATCATTTGTCTTTATTTTTTTGTTTATTTTGAGACAGGGTCTCGCTCTGTCACCTAGCCTGGAGTGCAGTGGCACGATCATAGCTTACTGCAGCCTCAACTTTCTGGGCTCAAGCGATCCTCCCACCTCAGCCTCTGAAGCAGTTGGGACTACAGGCACACAGCACCATGCCTAGCTAGTTTTTGTTTTTGCTTTTGTTTTGTAGAGACAGGATGTCACTATGATGCCCAGCTGGTCTTGAACTCCTGGTCTTAAGTAATCCTCTCTCCTGTGCTTTCCAAAATGTTGGGGTTACAGACGTGAGCCACTATGCCTGGACTGTAAATGTTCTTTATATATTCTAGATACAAGACCTTTGATAGATATATAATTTGCAAATATTTTCTTCCATTCTAGAATTGTCTTTCACTTTCTTGATGGTATTTTTTGAAATGCAAAAGTTTTTAATTTTGATGAATTTCAGTTTTTCTATTTTTCCTTTGTTGCTTGTGCTTTTGGTGTCATGTCTAAGAAACCATTGCCTAAGTCAAGGTTGTGAAGACTTACATCTGTGTTTTCTTCTAACAGTTTTATAGTTTTGGCTCTTATATCTAGATCTGTGATTTATACTGTGTTGATTTTTGTAGACAGTGTGAGGTTGGGGACCAACTTCATTCTTTTGCATATGGATATCCATTTGTCCTAGCACCATTTGATAAAAGACCATTCTTTCCCTCATTGAATTGTCTTGGTACCCTTTTTGAAAATCAGCTTACAGTAATGTGAGGGTTTACTTTTAGGGTCTCAGTTCTATTCTGTTGATTCATATATCTATCATTATACCAACACACAATCCTGATTACCATGACTTTGCAATACATTTCAAAACCAGGAAGTGTAAATCTTCCAGCTTAGGTTTTCTTTTTCGAGACTGCTATTTTGGGTCACTTGAGTTTCCATAAGAATTTTTCAATCAGCTTGTCAATGTCTGCAAAGAAGCCAGCTAGGATATTGATAGAAATTCCATTGACTGTAGATCAGTTTAGGGAGTATTGTCACCTTAACAATATTTTTGAAACATGAATGTGGGATGTGTTTCCATTTATTTAGGTTATTTTAAATTTCTTTTCCTTTTTTTTTTGAGATGGAGTTTCGCTCTTGTTGCCCAGGCTGGAGTGCAATGGTGCAATCTCTGCTTACTGCAACCTCTGCCTCCCGGGTTCAAGTGATTCTCCTGCCTCAGCCTCCCAGGTAGCTGGGATTATAGGCATGCACCACCATGCCCGGCTAATTTTGTATTTTTAGTAGAGACGAGGTTTCTCCTTGTTGGTCAGACTGGTCTTGAACTCAGGTGATCTGCCCGCCTTGGCCTCCCAAAGTACTGGGATTACAGGCAAGAGCCACCTTGCCCAGCCTTTAGATTTATTTTCAATGATGTTTTGTAATTTTCAGTTTACAAGTGTTACATTTTTTGGTTAAATTTATTCCTAAGTACTCTGAAGCTATTGTAAGTGGAATTTTTAAAAATTTCATTCTCAGATTTGTTCAAGTTTATAGAAATCCAATTGATTTTGTTTTTGTTTTTTTTTTTGAAACAAAGTTTTGTTCTTGTTGTCCAGGTTGGAGTGCGATGGCATGATCTCGGCTCACTGCAATCTCTGCCTCCCTAGTTCAAGAGATTCTCCTGCCTCAGCCTCCCGAGTAGCTGGCATTACAGGCATGCACTGCCACGCCTGGCTAATTTTTTGTATTTTTAGTGGAGATGGGGTTTCTCCATTGTTGATCAGGCTGATCTCAAACTCCTGACCTCAGGCGATCCTCCTGCCTTGGTCTCCCAAAGTGCTGGTATTACAGGCATGAGCCACCGCGCCTGGCCCACAATTGATTTTTATATACTGATATTTTATCCTGAAAACATACTGAACTTGTTTATTAGTTTTAGTAGTTTTTTATTGATTCCTTAGGATTTTTTGTATACAAAATTATGTCATCTGCAAGTAGAAACAGCTTTACTACTTCTTTTATAGTTTGTATGCATTTTATTTCATTTTCATGTCTAATTTCCCTGGGTAGAATCTCCAGTGCAGAACTGAACAGAAGCAGTTAAAGTGAGCATCCTTATCTATTTCCTGATAGCAGGGAAATAGCATTCAGTTTTTCACCATTAGTTGTAATATTAAAGTATGTTTTTTCTTAAGTGCTCTGTATCAGGTTGAGGAAGCTCCTCTTTATTCCTAGTTTATTGAGTTTTTATCATGAAGGAACGTTGAATCATGTTCCTTTTCTACATAGCACATGGCTTTTCGACATCTATTGAGATGATCATGTGATTTTTATCCTTTATTTTGTTGATATGTGATTTTTAGATACTAAACCAACCTTATGGTATATTAGCCTTTATGTTGCTGGATTTGGTTTGCTAGTATTAAATTGAGGATTTTGGGATTTACAATCATAAGAGATAGTGGTCTGTAGTTTGGTTTTCTTGTGATGTCTTCATCTGGTTTTGGTAATGCTAACTTCATGGAATCTGTTGGGGTATGTTCTGTCCTCTTCTATTTTTTTGGAAGAGGTTGTGAATAATTGGTGTTAATTCTTAATGTAGTATTTACCAGTGAAGCCATCTGGACCTGGGCTTGTCTTTGGGTTGTTTTTTGATTACTAATTTAATCTCTCTACACATTATAAGTCTCTTCAGATTTTCTGTTTCTTCTTAAGTCAGTTTTATTAGTTTGTGTCTTTTTAGAAGTTTTTCCATTTCATTTATCTAATTTGTTGGTGTAAAGTTGTTCATGGTATTCCCTTAAAAATATTTTTATGGGAGACCCCATCCATACAACAACAACAACAAAAATTGGTGGGGTGTGGTGGCATGTGCCTGTGGTATTTGCTTCTAAGCAGGCTGAGGTGGGAGGATCGCTTGAGTCAGGGAGGTTAAGGCTG